CGCACGGTCCCCTGGTTCCTTGGAAGAGGCGGAGAGGTGGGTGTTTGTCATCTGCTCGTGGACTAACCGGAAAGAATTACAGTGCTTGCCTCGACGGGGAGGGATTGCATTGCAGCGGGAGCAAACGCTTGCCTCGGGGAGGGAGAAAAAAAGCCACAGCGGAGAATAAACAGAAGGGTAACCATGGTAACTATGGGCGGGAAGTCTTCTTCGCTGCTTTTGTGGCAGACTACAGCGCCACTTACAGGCCTGCCATATGTACTACAGCGTCTCCAGCGCTTTCGAGCGGCAATGGCCGTGGTTGTCTCCTCCTGATAGGTGGAGAGTTGGCCCAATAGCCGTAGCGCCACTGTCCTGACGTCAGGACAGTGTTCAAATCTGGATCAGTTTTTATCCGATCCGTTGCAGCCCCTTTTTTAGAGATTTGGGTATGGAGGAAAATAGAGAGGGTTGTGTTTTCTGACACTTGGTGAGTTCCCTGGAACACCGGGGAGACATATTCATGTATAAAAGACAAATGTACAAAAGTGCATTTTGCATGATAGGTCCCCTTTAACTTAAATATGTATTGTGATAATGTCCCACACAGCTAGTTGGTTACAACAATCTACAGCAGTGGTTCTCAACTGGTGGGTCGCAACCCAAAAGTGGGTCGCGGACCCGTTTCGAGTGGGTCGCAGATGTGTGAGTGAAGAAAATAAAATTGGAAAAATAATTCCTTTTTTTTTTTTTGGGAAAAAGGCCCGATTTTCTAACGCTGTGCATGCAGTAACGGCCTGTCCACACGGCGGCGTGCGTTGAAGCTTCAACGCTTCTGCCCATTCACTTTGAATGGGGTGACGTCACGCTTTGCCGAACTGCATTGTGGTCGCGTCGCTTAGCTTTGCTCGTGTTGCTCGCGTTGCTCGCTTCAAAAGTTGAGCAATGTTCAACTTTTGAAGCTTCGACGGAAGCGTCACCCAATCAAATCATATGCCAGCAATCAAACCGCGTGCTTGTGTGTCCGGGGCGGGAGATTTTTTGTTGAATAGATTTGAGTGGTTCAAAATTTCGGGTCGCGATCTATTGACTAAGGAAAAAGTGGGTCCCGAGGCCTGACCAGTTGAGAACCACTGATCTACAGTGATGTCACAGGGATTTCAGGCAGCAGGTAGTTGAAGGTTAAGTATCTAAATTCACTTGTTAATCCATTTGCTATGGCTATCTGCCTCGTGGAACAACAAAGTTTTTCTTTCTGTTTGTTTAATATAGGAATGCATCTTTGTCTATCACACTTTGCTTCTGTAGATCTCCCAACTGACTTTATTGTGAGCTTGTGCTTTCAAAAAGTAAATTGAGCATGTTTTATGAGACTGAACAGTCTCATGGGGTATTGGACTCTCTTAAAACCCAGGTAGGTGCAGAATAGGTTTCTCAAAAATAAAGCAATCAGGAATAATATACAGTTGATAAATATATACAGACACACACATATATGCATGATTGTCAAGGGGGGGGGGGGGGGGGGGGGTGGCGGCGTCAGTGGAGTACAGCGCTTCGCGATTGGCAACGGGGGGGGGGGGGGTGGCAGTAGAGTACAGAGCTTCGTGACAGCAGCCCTGTCTGTGCACACGGAGACCGAACTCACCGCCTTCTGGAAAAGCTTCACACATTTACGTCGGTACGCAAAAATGCGCTTTGTGACAAAAGTGACGGTGCGCATTTCAGATTGTTGCCGCGCATGCGTACCGGCGTACCAGTTATGTGCACCCCTGTATATATGCATATATACATGTGTCCTATGCAATGTACATTTTTTTTCATTCTTGAATATACTATAATATACGTACTTCTTATTTCTATCTGCTTCTGATCTGCTGCCGGGCTCACAACATTCGCCTGCTTCTGATCTGCTTCTATCTGCCAAGTTACCGACCCAACCACACCGTTCAGTGGAAGGATTGATTCTGGTTCCTTGGCATTAGGTGCGGGCTCATAGAGACGAGACAGTGTCTGGCTTACGGTTTTGTGTACCGGGTCGAAAAGATAACGTAAAGTTAAATCTGCTGAAGAACAGAGTCCACCGGGCCTGACGTGAATTTAGTGTCTTGGCTTTCCTAACATATTCTAAGTTCTTGTGGTCCTTCCAAACAAGAAATGGTTTCTCCGCCCCTTCTAACCAGTGTCTCCACTCCTCCAATGCTGCTTTGACAGCTAGTAACTCCTTGTTCCCCACATCATAATTTATTTCAGCTGAGGTCAACTTACGCGATAGATAGGCACAGGGGTGTATCCTGTTATCCTCGGAGGACCTCTGGGACAACACAGCCCCTATGCCCTCGTTGGATGCGTCAACCTCAACCACAAACTGCCTCTGGGGGTCCGGAACAGTGAGTACAGGTGCTGTGGTGAATTTTTTCTTGAGGCACTGGAAGGCGGACTCGGCCTCGGGGGTCCACTGAAAAGAAACCTTAGAGGAGGTGAGAGCATGCAAAGGTGCGGCTACAGAACTGAAGTTGCGTATAAACTTCCGGTAAAAGTTGCCAAACCCCAGAAATTGTTGGACTCTTTTGCTGCTATCAGGAGTGGGCCAGTTGGTCACCGCACTGACCTTGGATGGGTCCATCTGCACCTGATTGGCGGTGACAATGTAGCCCAGGAAGGAGACAGAGGTTGCATGGAAGTCGCACTTTTCAGCTTTCACATACAATTGATTCTCAAGAAGCTTCTAGAGGACTTGGCGGACATGCATGACATGATTATCTGGGGAGAAAATCAAAATATTGTCCAGATACACGAAAACAGAAACATTCAAATACTCTCTCAAAATATAATTTACCATAGCCTGAAATACAGCAGGAGCATTACATATTACACACCCGCTTGGGGTGTTGAACCCCGTTTTCCACTCGTCTCCCTCTCTAATTCTGACGAGGTGATAGGCATTCCTAAGATCGAGTTTGGTAAAAACTTTAGCTGACTGAAGCAGTTCAAATGCTGAAGACATCAGCGGGAGTGGGTGGCGGTTCTTAACAGTTATTTCGTTCAATGGGCTGTAGTCAATGCATGGCCAGAGCGACCCATCTTTCTTACCCACAAAGAAGATATCCTGAATATCCCCGCTTTCAACGAGGAGGAGATGTAATCGTGCATGGCCGCCCACTCCGGTCCCGAGATAGAGTATAAGCGCCCCCTAGGGATGGGTGCGCCAGCAGCAGGTCGATGGCACAGTCAAAAGGACGATGTGGGGGCAGTGACAGAGCTTTGGTTTTATTAAAAACCTCTTTAATGTCATTGTAGCATGAAGGGACCTTGGAAAGTAATCTGAGCTTCTATCAGGGACTGCAACAGTTTGTGGGGTTCTACAGGACATGGTCTCTGAGCTGAGTTGGGTTACTGGGGCTTTGGTGACAGCGTGGTGGGGAAAATAGCCGGACATACAGGTCTGTTCACAATTCCCTCACCATCCCTTAAAACCTGTTCTGCCCCGAGCCTGTTTTTCAGGTCTCAGGCTCGAAAATGACATTTCCAGAACAAATTACCATAACTACACTTCTAAAAGGGGAAAATTAATCATATTTGTTCTCAAAGTAATGATAAACCTGTGAGTTGGATGTAGAAAAGTCAGAATCAATATAGATGTTTTTTATAAAAAAAAAAATTCAGATTGAACATTTATAGTGTCCGTACAAAATATATTTTTTACTTATAGTGAAAACTACCCTTGGATGATGGGTTAGTAGACTAAAAGCTTTAGGAATCCAAAGTACAACATATAATAAGTACCCTGTATCAAGATTGATTCAAAACAAGTGACATTTGACGTTTTTGGAGAGATTTAGCAAAAACAAAACACTTCTGGGGTCATTTGGGTGGATTTGACCTATCTCTGGCCCCCCTTGGTCGATTTTGATGATTGACATCTCTTTTTAACCGTCGGAGCCAATGGAATCGAGGGAAAGTTCCACACACACACACACAGGTTACCAAATAAGGAGTGAGAGTGACGCGTAGAAAAACCGGAAGCTGCGCTAACCTCTGGTGGCTACCATTAGCAGCTAATTTTTATTCTCCGATTTTTGCATAAAAATGTAATTATGGATTATCAATAATTTTTTCAAAGTGACAGACACATTGCTATAACCTATGGATTAACCTTCAGCCGCGTTTTTTCTCGTTTTAATGCCATTGAACACGACTTTTGATCAGAATAACAGCTAAAGTGAGCATATCTCCGTGTTTTGCTACCTAACGCTACGTCGTGTGTTGTCTGGTTTTGCTTCCCCTGTCACGAGTTCTGATCGCTCAGTGATGATACTTATATTTCTATAATCTGTGGACTCTCAGGATGTTAGCTAAGCTTGTTTGTGCAGATCCAATAAGTATATCGATCGGTATAGCTAGAGTTCTGTAATAACGGCATTAAGATTTTTTCGCTCAGGGCAGATTCAGAGGCTCAGCGTTAGTCTTGTGTTTTCTTTTGCTAAAAATGGTTCATATCATCAGTTAGCTGAGTTTCTTACCGTTACATGGATGTGAAACATTCATAGTTTATTAAATATTAAGAAGCCCTCAGACGCTGTTTCCTGCAGATTATGCGTTTTTCCGCCCGGGGGCGGGGGGAAGGTGTTCAACAGGTTAATTTGTCCTGAACACCAATCAATATGTGGGTTATGTGTTTTTAACCAAGGAAACCCCAAAATCAGCAGATGCTGTGTTGAATTGAATAGATGAAACTGCATAATTTCCATGTGATTATTATCAATTGTCACTTGAATGGGTTCTGTACAATCAGTTACTCTACACATTAGTCTGCCGTCTAGGGCGCTGGCATTGACGGGATGCTTGAGAGGGACAGTCTTAATATTAAGGCGTTTAGCTAAACCACAGTCTATGAGGCTTTCATCAGCCCCAGAGTCAATTAGTGCCCCCAGAGTTCTGACTGTTAGCTGTGACTTTAACCTGGGTGAGTGTGCGAGGAGGATGGTCAGGAGGAAAGTTTGCTCACCAGCGCCCTCCACATGGTTGGTGAGCATGCCCTTTTCCCGGGCATATCGCCTGCTGGTAACCCGATTGGCCACAGTAAAAGCAGCATCCCTCCTGCAGGCGGCACCGTCTTTCCTCTGGAGAAATCCTTGTTCTTCCGAGCTGCATTGGCTCCTCCGGTGCCTGTGATGGCTCTGTTCCTGCTGGGCTTGATGAGGAGGGGAACAAGGGATCCCATGAAGGCTGCCTACCCAGAGAGCGCCCCTGGTGGCTGGGGTGTCTTGTTGCAGTTCGGCGCCGTTCTCTCTCTTTCTCTGAGGCGGTTATCAACTCGGATAGACATGGAGATCAGAGATTCATGGTCTTGTGGTAGTTCTAGTGGAGCCAGGTGGTTTCTGAGAGTCCATTCCGGAAGGCGTCTATTAACCTGTTAAGCCGCGGGTGGGGGAAAAATCGCAACATCTGCAAGAAACAGCGTCTGAGGGCTTCTTAACATTTAAAAACCTATTCATGTGACAATATTAATATTAATACACCTGAGTGTTGGGCTCCGCCCCTTCAGAGCCTCACCTGAGCGTTAGGTTCCGCCCTTTCAGAGTATCACCTGAGCGTTAGGCCCTGCCCCTTCAAAGCCTCACCTGAGCGTTAGGCTCCGCCCCTTCATAGCCTCAGCCTGAGCGTTAGGCCCCGCCCCTTCAGAGCTTCACCTGAGCGTTAGGCTCCACCCCTTCAGAGCATCACCTGAGCGTTAGGCTCCGCTCCCTCACCTGTCACTCACTCTCCCTCTCTTCTCTCCCACAGCAGGGCGACTTCTTCGAGCACGAGAAAACGTTCCTGCTGGAATATCACAACCGAGTGAAGGACACCTCGGCCAAGTCCGACCGGATGATCCGCTCACACAAAAGTAACAATCTTTAAAATGTTTAAATATAGTTTTTATTCTATGCTCTAGTAAGATGAAGCTTCGTAGCAGGTCAGAGTTAAACACAGGATTCACAAAGGTACAAACAAAGATAAGATATAATTCAAATTAAAATAATAATACATGTAATTGTGTGTGTCCTAACGTCAGTGTGTGTGTCAGACGCTGCAGACGACATCAACAGAATCGCCTTGTCTCTTTACACGTTAGGAACGCAGGACTCCACCGACCTCTGCAAGTACGATCACACACTCAATAATACTCATTATGATTATTATATATTCATGACATCACTTCCTGTCTGCAGGTTCTTCCTCAAAGTGTCTGAGCTGTTTGAGAAGACCCGGGTGAGTTCAGATCTGTGGAGTTTTATAAACAGCTGTTTTCTCCTTCAGACGTTAATGTTTCTGTTTCTGCAGAAAATCGAGTCTCGAGTCGCCACTGATGAAGACCTGAAGCTGGCCGACCTGCTGAAGTATTACCTGAGAGAGTCTCAGGCCGCTAAGGTACTTATATTAATTAATTTTTTATTTTTTATTTAGCCTTTATTTATACAGGTGTAAAATCTCATTGAGACACAAGGTCTCATTTACAAGAGAGACCTGTAGTGGTAACACTACCACACAAAGTTACAGACAGACAGGACACTAAACACAGAGGCAACAATAAAATACAACATCGTAAAAAAAAAAGTAGTCATTGAAATCCATATAAAGTAGTCAGATATAGCAGGTGCATACACCCACAGATGATTTCTCCAGCTTTTTTTAAATTAGTTTAAAATCCGTGATGGGTATCAAACTGGTCAGCTTAAGTTCCTGCTGAAGTGTGTTCCAGGTCGAGGGGGCAGAGTATGATATGGCTTTTTTCCCAAGCACCGTGCGAACTGAGGGGACGGACAGAGTGATGTAATTTTGAGATCGTAGGCTATAGCTGTACTGTTTGTGTGATATGTAAGTGGATATGTAGAGGGGCAGCAGTCCAAGCATAGCGGTATAGATGAGTTTGTACCAGTGCAGTGATCTGCGCATTGATAATGATGTCCAGTTGACTAAAGAATATAATTCTTAATTATATAATATAATAATTAATAATTAATAATTTAATATTATTAATGTTCACACACACGGTCCGTCTCTGAAAGCTGTCCCACTTCCTGTCTGCCGCTCATTGGTTCCTACTCAATCTGTTGTATATGTTCAGTTAATATTATATAATCTATAATATCATGTTGGTTTAGGACCTGCTGGAGCCTCTCTGTGTTCCTTAATATTACATATATTATTATGTCCTGTAGGACCTGCTGTACCGCAGGAGCCTCTGTGTTCCTTAATATTACATATATTATTATGTCCTGTAGGACCTGCTGTACCGCAGGAGTCTCTCAGTGTTCCTTAATATATATTATTATGTCATGTAGGACCTGCTGTACCGCAGGAGTCTCTGTGTTCCTTAATATATATTATTATGTCATGTAGGACCTGCTGTACCGCAGGAGTCTCTGTGTTCCTTAATATATATTATTATGTCCTGTAGGACCTCGACTCCTATCCTCGTGACTTAGTCCCGCCCACAGGAGATGCGAGCGGAGGAGCCGAGGAGGGGAACCGAGGAGAGAGGAGGGGAAGCAGCAGGCGTTTAGAGAAATGAGAAATCCTCTCCTCTGAGCGGTCATTTTAAAGAGACGTCCATTAATGATGACAGGAGGCACAGCAGCCCTCTGTCTGATGGACAGATGTGTTCATGACGACTTATATATTTACTTTTAATTCATTGACAGTGCGGTATAATGAGACAATAACAGGCTACAGATGCGGACATATACACACACATATATTTATATAAATATATACAATTTCAGAATCAAACAAGTATGAGAGCACTCTCATAATAACGTAACACAATCAGAGACTGGATATATCCCCCCCCCCCCCCTCTCTCTGGTCGCTGAAATGGGGAATTTAAATTACGGGCCAAAAGTTGTATTTACAAGTATTAAAAGTAAGCATAGGACACCAAACCAACCCGTCTGTCCGCCGCATCTACGCACTGTACAACACGCACACTGTACCACACACACACCTACACACTGTACCACACACACACACACTGTACAACACGCATCACCACACTGTACAACACACAACTACACACTGTAGCCTACCACACACACCTACAGCTCCTAAAGCATATAATATCAGGATACAGCCGTTGTGTATTTTATTATGTGAAGCACTAAATGGTCTTAGAAAAATATGGACTCTTTGTTTGTAGATATCTACTAAACTACAGCATACAAATACAGAGAGTAATGTAGGCCTGTTATACTGAGTGATATATATTTTACACACTGCTCTGCTTTCTGCACGGACCTCACAGCTGTTCTCACTGGAAACATCGCGTCGCGATGAAAGCAGTTACTAAAATAATATCCAGGGGATGCATGCAGAGCTGTCATTGGCTGAGATAAGTCCGGCCGTGCATAACGCCTCCACCGTTCCCGGAAATGCATCCGCGGAGGAGCCGTGGAGGACCCATCAGTGTCTCCTCGGTTAGAGCTCCTCCAGAGAGCCTCCTCGATGCTCGATGCTCGATGCTCGGTCCTCGATGTGCATTTAGAGAAATTAGATGTCCTTCATCATAGCGCGCTGAAATACATTTCCGGGTCACTACCGGAGGACCGAGGAGTCGAGGAGGGGAAATTAGAGTATTGAGAAGCCTTCCATGTGTTCCTTAATATATATTATTATGTCATGTAGGACCTGCTGTACCGCAGGAGCCTCTCAGTGTTCCTTAATATATATTATTATTATGTCCTGTAGCACCTGCTGTACCGCAGGAGCCTCTCAGTGTTCCTTAATATATATTATTATGTCCTGTAGGACCTGCTGTACCGCAGGAGTCGGGCTCTGGTGGATTATGAGAATGCGAATAAAGCTCTGGATAAATCTAGAGCGAAGAACAGAGATGTCCTGCAGGCGGAGACCAGCCAGCAGCTCTGCTGCCACAAGTTTGAGAAGATCTCAGAGTCCGCCAAGCAGGGTACACACAAACCTCACACACACACCTCACACACTCCTCACACACACACCTCACACACCTCACACATACCTCACACACACCTCACACACACACCTCACACTCCTCACACACACACCTTTATATACACCTCACACACATCTCACACACACCTCACTCATACACCGCACACACACACACCTCACACACACACCTTTATATACACCTCACACATCTCACAGACCTCACACACACCACACACACCTCACAACACCGCGCACACACCTCACACATCTCACTCACACACACCTCACACACTGCACACACACCGCACACACACCTCACACATCTCACTCACACACACCTCACACACTGCACACACACCTCACACACCTCACACATACACCGCACACACACACCTCACACACCACACACACATCTCACTCACACACACCGCACACACACACCTCACCTCACACACAAAAAATGGTCGGCCTCGAAGCAAGAACCGCTTACGTCGGAGGCGGGGGCGGGGCAGGGGCGGGATCAACCTGAGCTAACAGTTAATGGCGAGTACGGCAAATGAAAGTTGTAACAAGCAGTAGTGTTGAGCAAAGTGACTAGAACGCAACAACACACTTGTACAAAAACATATTTTATAAAGTCAGGCAACACTAACCAGGCTTCGTGTGATTCTGTTTATTTGTACCTTACTTTGACCATCCGTTCGCTGTCATTGATCATTGTGGAGAGCAGGCAGACGTTTTGTTTTGTATTATAGCAGCTATCGGATGGAATCAATACATGGGCTGCACAGGTTGTTATGTCCGACTATCACAAGTAGAATCATAATGAAAAATACGCCGGTAAAATGTGCCTGTAGAAAACGGCTTATGCCACAATAGGATAGCAACAAGTCTTCAAGATAGTCAGTTTAGCTTCGGTTGCTATTGTAACAGAGTTATAACGGTTGGTGTAAAATCCTGGTTAAATTGGAGAATTACGCTATCTGGTGTTACAAACGTGTGCCTGCATTACTGTAGCTTTGTTACCGCAATAGATTGTGGGAGATTCTCATGCGTGAGGATCTCTTGAGAGTAAGGTGCTATTGTATTATGTCGGTGGACAAAATGTATGTTATTTTATTAGGACAATAACGTTCTGTTGTGTTTGTTTAGTTTAATGTTAGTCGTTTAATGCTCACAGCAACATGTTTTTTGTGTAATTGGCTATTTGTGTTATATGATTTATTTATGTGATCATCAATAGCTAATTTGAGCTAATAGGCTAACGTGAGCGTGGTGCTATTGTTACGGGTCCCCGATATGAGGACCACAGTAACGGTTATGATACCTGTATGGTGCAGGTGAAACAGAAGTAATGAGGACACCTTGTGTTCAGTTTCCTTCCAGATTACTTCTGAGGAAACCCCGGGAACGTCCGTCGCTTTAATCGGTACCCCGGAACCATTGAATCGAACACAAACGTTCCGCCTCACTACTCACTGCATCTATCGACCCCGTTAGTGAAATGAAAATAACAGATGTACAAAATAAAGGCATATTCTAACTCTAAATATAATACTTATTATATTAATGTGGTCATACATCCCAGGGGTGCCACACGCTCCCCAACAACAAAAGTGGCTCCCGACACTTACTTGAAATCACATGTTCCTATTCAAGATAACTTTAACATCTTCATAAAACACAAATATTTACAATGTCCAAACTATCACACCTCAACATGTATGACCCTTAGGACTAACACTGTGTATGACCTTTCAATAACCTTGTATGGGACATGTAAATGGTGAATGGGGATATGGAATGAGGGGTGTGTAGTGGAATGATGGTGGGCATGTTTGTGAATACCAAAGGTGAGTGTAGGGCATGAGGTATGTATCCATAGCATTTACTGTTGGACCCGACTGGTATGTTGGGAGGCCAAGAGATGAATAGGTGAGGATTTGACCTGGTCGTCTCTCCCGAGTAGACCGTCTCAGTGGGACAGGTGAGTCAGGTTCAGGGTCTTGTACCCGTTCCTCGGGACATGCACGTTGAGGCAACTCTTGCTCATCTTCGTTCTGAGGTACATTAGGGGTTGTCTGCTCATTGTCCTCAGTTTGATGAGAGATTTCCGGTTCATCCTCAAGTTGAAGTTCACACCTGTCTGACGAGTACTCTTCTTCACAAAGACCTTTAGCCTGTTCTCCAGCTTCCCGTTGTGCAATGTCCATGTCAGGTAAAGTTTGGAACTCTAGCCGTCTCTCTACACCAGAGTTCCTGGTAGTCTTTCCAAACATCTCCTCAGAAGAATGTGGTTCCCACACTGATGTCTGTTCTCTTCTTAACATACTTGGTCTTTTTGGAGTAACTGTTATGTTAGGCTTAACCCGATTTGCTGGTATCCTCAACCAGTAACCTCCTGTTGACTCATCCTCTGAATCAGATGTCTCAGCATTTTGGTCTCTCACATCCCTTTGTCTCTTTGGATGGCTTCCTTGTTTCTGTGATGGCTTTGGGGTTGGTTTGACTAACTGTGGTGGAAATTCCACTGGCAAGTCATTGACAAGCAGAAGCAGGTTTCTGTGCAGGGTTCTGGTTTTCCCTTTTGCATCACTTTCTGGATGGACGACATATACTGGGTTATCTGAAACCTGTTCCTTTACCACATATATCCTCTTCTCCCAATAGGAACGTAATTTACCAGGCCCTCCGCGCTCACTTAGGTTCCTGACTAACACTCTATCCCCTTGCTTCAGAACCACTCCCCTCGCCTTCTGATCATAATAGGACTTGCCCTTTGCACTAGACGCCAGACTGTTATCAGTAGCAATCCGATATGCTTCTGTCATCCTTTCGCGCCATTTCTCAGCATATCCTTTGTGTGTCACTGGATCTGTCTCCTCTGACAGGCCGAACAGGAGATCCACAGGGAGACGAGGTTGACGACCATAGAGCAGAAAGTGAGGCGAATAACTGGTTGATTCGTGACGTGTGCAGTTATACGCGTGTATAACCTGTGGAAGATGTTCTTTCCATGTCTCTTTTTCTTTGTCTGTCAGCGTTCGCAGCATTTGTAACAGAGTTCGGTTGAACCGCTCAGCTGGATTACCTTGCGGGTGGTAAGGAGATGTTCGAGAGTGACCTACTCCAGCGAGCTGCCCGAGTGTTCGAAAGAGATCATTCTCTAATTCTCGTCCTTGATCATGGTGTAGTTTGTTGGGGAACCCAAAACGGGGTATAAAGTCATTATAAATCCGCTCTGCTGCTGTCCGTCCGGATTTATTTTTGGTTGCATAGGCCTGTGCGAACCTTGTGAAGTGGTCGACTACCACCAAGATATATTCATAGCCTCCTTTACTTTTCTCAAGGTGCAAATAGTCAATGCAGACCAGTTCAAGGGGTGAGTTAGACTTCATGCTGCTCATTGGTGCACGCACATAGACCGTTGGTTTCTTCTGTTTAATGCAACAGCATTTCTTTGTCACATAATCCTCTATGAATCTTTTCATATGAGGCCAGTAAAACCTTTCTCTGGCTAGTTGAATGACTCTCTCTGTGCCTACATGTCCCATGTTATCATGAAGGTGCTTCAAGACAAAAGACTGATATTTCAGAGGTAGGACAAGCTGTTTTCTCTCTGGTGTCCGCCGATATAGGATTCCATCTTCAAGGTGTAGACGGTTCCATTCGTGAAGAAGCTTACACGCGGTTCCCTTGACTGACCTCCTCATATCATCTGAAAGTGTATCACTAACTTCCTTTAGCCTTACAATCTCTCCAATTGTTTGGTCTTCCCTTTGGGCTTGAACCAACTCATTGTGACTTATTTTCTGTAGAGGTGTGCACGGCTGTGGGATAACGTCAAGGGAGGAGGCAGAGAGGGCAGCTACCCAGGCAACATCTTTTCTCTGAGCTGCTTGACCTCCTTCCCAGGTTGCACTCACCACATCTTGCGACAACTCTTCTGTGCACGTTGACATGTAGTGGTCTATATCAAGAGGGATACGGGACAGTGTATCCGCATCAATGTTCATTCTTCCAGGTCTGTACTTAATGTTAAAGCGGAAGTCTGACAACTCCCCCACCCAACGGTGACCGACCGCATTGAGTTTGGCCGTGCTCATAACATAAGTAAGTGGATTGTTGTCAGTGTAAATGGTGAAGTGAGGAGCATAAAAGAGGTAATCTCTAAACTTCTCACACACTGCCCACTTTAGCGCGAGGAACTCTAATTTGCCGCTGTGCAAATGATAATTCCTTTCAGCCGGTGTCAAGGTTCGTGACCCATAGCCAATGACTCGCAGCTTTTCGTCCTGCTTTTGGTAAAGAACTGCTCCCAGTCCTTGCTCCGATGCATCGGTATGCAAGACGAATGGCATGTCAAAGTCTGGGTATCCGAGAACTGGAGGATGCGTTAACATGTCAACCAGTTCCTCAAGTGTAGTCTGATGCACAGCAGTCCACTCTATAGGCGCCCTGGATGACAGCTGGGGGCCTTTAGCTTTGATCTGTCGAGCTTGTGTTGAGGCTTTCACTTGGAGCAACTCGTATAATGGCTTTGCTATCTTCGAGAAGTCTTGTATGTACGACCTGTAGTAACTGAGAAAGCCGAGGACTCTTCTCAGGTCACCTACGGTCTTCGGTGTTTTCGCTTTCAGGGCCAGTACAGCTTCTAGATCTTTGGGGTCAACTCGAACACCCTCACCAGAGACCAGGCGTCCAACATAGCGAACTTCTCCCCTGAACACCTCACACTTCTCAGGGCGGAGCTTCACTCCCTGACTCTGTATCGCTTGGAGCACTTTCCGAACCACCTCCACATGATTTTCAAAGGTCTGGGAGTAACACAGGATGTCGTCCAGGTAAGGGATACAGCACTCATCCCTCAAAGAACACAACATCTCCTCCATACTTCTCTGAAAAGCTGCTGGTGCATTCGTAAGACCAAACGGTATTCTCACCCACTCATAAAGCCCCCAGGGTGTAATGAAGGCGGTCAGATGGCGTGAACCTTCAACCACAAAACCCTGGTGGTATGCCTTACCCTGGTCAAGGATGCTGAACCAAGAGTTTCCCCCAAGGTGTCCAGTAGGTCCCGTATCCGAGGCAGTGGGTGTCGGTCTGGTACAGTTTTCTGATTGAGCAGGCGATAGTCTATACAAAGGCGCAAAGAGCCATCTTTCTTCCGTACGCACACAACAGGGGCAGAATAGGAAGACTTGGATTTAACAATCCATCCCTTCACCAGTAGGTCTTGAATATATTCTTTGACCTCCCTCAATAGCGGCTTTGGTATGGAAGTATACGTCCTTTGCACTGGAATATCGTCCTTCAGATTTATCACCATTTGTAGGCTAGGGTTACAGCCAATGTCATTTCCGTCCCTCGCAAAAGCCTTTGATTCTTTGTACAACATTCTCTTGGCAATCTCTTGTTGTTCCTCCTCTAAGTGACTGAGGTCCACTGGTGGGTGCCACAGGGGTGGAATCGGCTCAGCTTTTTGGATTGGTTCAAGGGGTTGTGTTGAGACCTCATTGACTGTTGCAGTACATGTTGTCTTGTCAGGAGATTCAGCATCCACAAACCTTTCAATGTGCTGCAATACGCCCAGGGCTGTCTTGCGTGGTAAGGTGACATCATGTTTGGTGTTATTGCCTACTGGAATTGTGACATAAGGCTTTGCAGGGTTCTGTATCTCAAACAAACCTGTCCCTAAATCCAGCTGCGATAATTGATGACTGTCTTCATCAGCTTCAAACAACACCAGACGATCAGAGGGGTTCAGGGTTTGGGGAACACGACACCTCACCCAGGTGACATGACCAGCCGGAATGACGATGTCATTTACACCTGTTCTTAGGCGTCCCTGCGACGTACTTGGTTCAACTGCCTGAATAAAGCTCACAATTGCTTCGGCTTTCTCCACCGGAACACTGATGGCATCACGAAGCAGTTTAACCAGAGTGCATATCAATCGTTCTGGCTGTCCCTCAATGATTTCCTCCAAAACATTAAAACCAACCAATGGTCTCTCCATGGCCAACCTTGTGACTAGGAATGGAACACTGATGGAAAGACTGGGTTCTTCATTTCCTGGCAGGTTGGTCATAATGGCTACCCAGCCATCAAACGGAATAAGCTCGCCATTAACTGCATACACCTTTAGCTCGTCCAGATCCTCGATAATCTCCGATATTGGTCGAACATCAAGATTAGGCAGATATTGTTCTTTCCAGGCGCGGCTTATGATACTGACTTGAGCACCGGAGTCAAGCAATGCAGTCACTGCCAATCCGTTTAGATTACACTGTATTAGCGACTTTTTCCCTATCAGCTTGGCAACAGTTCTACGTTTCACCCCTGGTGAACCAAAAGAAAACTGAGTCGAGGGTTCATCTTGCTGGTAACTATTCTGGGCACCAGCTACTTCAACTGTTTTGCCCTCACAACTGGTTTGTGCTTTTGCCTCACCAGAATGTTCAGCTTGGGGTCGTATTGTGGATCCGATCACTGGCAACCCCGCTGCAGTGACCGGCTTGAGTTTCCCTGACTCTCCTGTCTCTTTAAACAGCCCACAGCCCTGTGTCCTCCATCCCCACAATAGAAACAGTGGTTACAATCTGGCCGGTTTTGTTCGACACATTTTGAACAACCAAAAGGTTTCTCTCTCCTGGGTCTCACTCTGTTTTGAGAGTATTGGTTATGGTTCATCATGTCTGCCGGATGTGGCTGCTTTTGTTGTCTCATAGCCTCAACCATGCTGGTTAGTTCATCTACCTTGGCTGCAAGCTCTTTTATTGGGTCTGTCTTTGTTTTGTGTGCTGTGCTCTCTTGTTTGTTGCCACACTCTTGGACTTTGTTAAGCTCAAGTTGTGCGCTATGAGCACTAGTTGTTGCCTGCCGACGAGAAGGACCTATCCTCTTCTGTCTCTCACTCTCCTCACTGGTGATTCTCATTACATGGCGTAATATTATTTCATCACTCACCTCAGCACTTGATAGAAGAGGCTTTAGTTCTCTGCGTACATCACTGTGTTTATATCCAAGTCCCTGCAAGACCGTATGTAGAAACACATCTTGAACAGTAGCTGGACTGTATTTAATGCCTGCGTCTGACAGTTTGGAGGTGAATAGGACACGTTGCTTTAACCCTATCACTCGGTAGAGAAACTGTTGTGGTGTTTCATTATCATCCTGTCTAGCACACATTAATTCTTGGAATAACTCCGTACTGTTTTTCTCTCTTAAGTGGGCCTGGAGAAAGCCTTTGAGCTCCATCACTGTCAGATCATCCTTATTTATTAGCATGTCTTTGAAAGTTCCAGGTTGTATGATTCGGAGCACACCACGAACTATGTCTCCGTCATGGACGCCTTCTCTAATCCCTTCCTCGATTTGCTTACAGACATTGTTATAGCTTATGTCCGAAGAATTATCACCAACCTGACCCCCTTGCACCTTAAACTCCCTCCTCTGGAGGTAAGAGAGTCCTCTTATGCCGCATTTCCACTACACGGTCGGCCTCGGCCACGCTCGGTACGGCTTGGCCGCGTTGGGCCTTAACAGGGCCGACTCACTTCATGCTGCGCTTCCATTACAGTTTAGGAACTGGGGTAGTTACTATAGTAACGCAGTGTAGGCGGAGCCGTGACGTCATCTTCAATGAGAACTCCAGAAAACACAACACAGCCGTTAGCTGTTAGCACTCAGAGCTCACAGCTCCTTATATATGTTCAGAAACTCGACAAAAGTTAAACAAGTACACACCACAGACTGCCTGTGTCATGGTGAATACAGTCGCTGCTTTATTTATGTCTGTATAGGCCATTGTTGTGAGTGTGGACGGTCGGGGCATATACTGCGTTAGCTTAGCCAATCTCCATCTAGAAAAACACGAATTTTAAAAGGTTTTTCGCCTGCCGTCTGTCTGCAGACTTGACAAAGCATTAATTCATGGTTTTTACTAACCGGTATCAGTATGTTGTTACTTCGGCATCATTTTGAAACGTGTATTACAATTAAATCACGGTCAAATATGTCCATCTTGTTGTAGTTGGAGCCCTCTTGCCAGCGCTCCTCTCTCTAGTTTAG